GGGGGAAATATTCTCCCCCGAGCGCGCTAATCTGTGTAATTAGCGTTGTTTACGCTTAGGGGAAAGTGTGCGTATGCATTGTGATACTCTCCAAAACGGCGGAAGACGTAACTCGGGGGAGAAGAATTGTTGAAAAATTTATGTTATTTTTGTTTTCTTTGCACTCAAAAAGTATTCTCATAGCTTTGCAAAACTGAAGTTGAGACACTGTTGTCAAATGGACTGTTTTACCGATGTCCTTACTACGTTTCTGGACCTGGGAACATTACAGTTGTGTTACTGTCTATGGGAGGGTCTGAGAGCTCTCACATTTCATCAAAAATATCTTAATTTGTGTTCCGAAGATGAACGAAGGTCTTACGGGTTTGGAACGACATTACGGTTAGTAATTAATGACAGAATTTTCATTTTTGGGTGAACTATCCCTTTAAAACTCAATACATTAGACAACACACAATACCCATTAGTGCTGACTGGCCCTTGTCCTGGATAAGGAAAAGTTGCCCCCAGTCAGTGTAAGCAGTCTTCACCCCAAACACCACCAGGTATCCCAATGACATCACCCACAGATATGGAGAAAAGATGAACTCATTGAAGGTGCTTTCATTTTTGCTGGAGCCTGAAATCAGAGGTAGATACCAGATAGATCAAATGTACAACTGTTGCTGGAGGACAGACACAAGCGTCCATAAGACCTTCGACAGAAAAAAACAAAACATGAATTAACACACAGGCCTAGTAAAACACACCCCTTTGTACTCCGTTTTGGTCCAATAGTTCATTCTTCAAAGAACTAGCAAGTGAAACCTTTTATCTAATGCCTGCTTTCACAATAACATAGAACAGCAATGACCTATATAAGCAAAACTAGCCATAATAAACAACTAAGTATGGAAAATGAAGATAACATGAAACCACATTGCCAGTTTGAATTACTTAATGTGATGCATTTCATACTGAAACAGGATATTCAGTTAAATTAATTATACATATCAAATGCATGTGGATGGGGAAGTCCTCATACCTCCTTTGCCTTTCTTTGCACCAGCTTCGATATTTGGCAGGCCAACTTCACTGGGCTCATTTCGGATGATGAGCAGACAGAAGATGGACATGACCACACAGGTCAGGCCAGAGATGGACAGCGTGAACCTCCAGCTGTAGCTTTGGGCCATTAGTGTGGCAATTATGGGCCCAAGACCCCCAGCCAAATTCATACTACAAGACAGCACTGCCCACCAGGTCCCAAACTGAGATGGCTCGAACCACTATTTAAACAAAATAATCAGTTAATTTCTGTTAATATGCTTCTTTTTTTTTCTCAAAAGCATCGTAAAAAAAAAAAAAATTATTATTGGCCCCAAACTTTTCAACAGTAGTATTTTCAAAAACCATCCCCAAGGAACCTTATAGTGAAGAGTTCTTAAAATAAATTTTTTTTTAATTTCTCAGTGTGAAGAACATTTTATTAATCTATAAAGAAACTTCTGTGCAATGGAAATGTTCCATGAATGTTAAAGGTTCTTAATGGAACCATAGTTTTTTAAGAGTGTATATATGTATATTTCAATGTGCAATGCAAGTCCGTGGATTACAGGATCGGATCCATACCTTGCGTAGTACTTTTGCACATGGTGGCCATCCTAGACCTTGACCCAGTCCATTCAGAAACCACAGGCCTGAGAACACTGCCACCGACGAGGACTGAGCGAAAACCACATTGATGCCGCCAACAATAAACAGCCCAATAGAGAAAAGCCATCGTGCGCTCATCTGATCGGACAGCACACCGCTTATGAACTTGCTTATGGCGTAGGCCAGTGATTGACTGCTAGTGATAAGACCTGCAGTGCACAAAGATGAAATAAATATTGATTAGACTTCAGCAGAGAGTGAAGGATCACTCAACACATGGGTTTGCAAAGATAGGGCAAAGGAGCATTTCTTTATCTCTACTCTGCATTGGCTTAAGGACTGTAAAGACTTCAGTGATAAGATGAATTTAATCACTGTGCTAATAAAGTAGATCCCGGGCAACATACCAAACATCTCATCGTAATATGGCTGTATACACACACACACACATAGACATACTGTATATATGTGTATATATATTAACTTTGTATATATATATATATATATTTTTTTTTTTTAATGAAATTTTAGTTGGGTAATGTTTCTTAACAGGGTGGAAAGCATATGAGCATATTGTACTATAACACCAAAAAGTAAAAAAAAACAGTATTAAGACAAAAGATGTTTTTCTAGTTGAATTTCTCAGATTAGGATGTCACACCAGAGGAAGTGAGGTCATGGTGCACTGGTTTAATATGTTACACTTGCAATTAATACATGCTTACAGGGTGGAAAGCAATATACAGTAGCAGTAACAGCAGAAGACAGTAGACAGTAAAAAACAAACTGTTCAGGATGAGGTTGCTATGATAATATATATATATATATATTTTCAGTATTATTAACAGAATTGTACGTTTAAAAAAAGCATTTATTTGAAATATAAATGTTTTGTAACATTATAAATGTCTTTACTGATACTTACGTTCAATTTAATGCATCCTTGAACAAAAATATACATTTATTTACAAAAGCATCTTACTGGCCTCAAACATTTGAACAGTAG